CTTTTCAGTTTTATTTTAGGGTTCCCTGTTTTTAATGTTCATACAGAGATTTCTTTAACTGAAATATCGAATAGTTTCTTTGGTGCGAAAACTATAATAGTACACAGGATCCTAACGAGATAATTAATAATGTGAAATAGGAAGTAAAGGGCTAAAGGTGTAGGGAAAGTGGGAAGGGTGGGGGAAAGGTAATAAGGGAGAGGAAAAAAATATGAGAAACTGAAAAAATGGAAATAAAGTGTTTGTAAATGGGGAAGGGGAGGAGGGTGTGAAGGGAGGGCAGGGACAAGGGGAAAAAATGATAATCAAGACCTATTATGTAAAGGTACAGAATCCCAATGATGAATGTAACTGGATTGTATACCTAGATTGTACCAATAAACTCAATTAAAAAAATAAAAAATAAAGAAAATGCTGTTAATCATTTTTGCTTAATGCAAACTGATCAGAGTTGTCTAATCATTCTTCAAATAAACTGAATTTTCCCCGGAAATCTTTGCCTTTGTCCTCTCTCTCTATTGTCGTGTCATCCTCGGAGGAGGATTTTATAAAAATCTGCAAATAAGAAAATCAAGCCACCAAGAGGAGACAAGCCCCACCCAAACCCACGCCATCTGGCAGTGGCAGAGGCCATTCCAAGTCCCCCTTGGTGCCCTGCGCCAAGGTCTTCTTCCTTACCCAGGAACATCTTCATCTCTCTCTGCAGCGGGAGGGCCTGCCGCGGGAAGTCCCGGATCTGCTGACCCAGCTCTGCGGACACAGCCTCTGGTTTCCGGCACTTTCTGGCTTCGCACCTGGCGGCACAGGAACGATGGGGGGGGCCCCTCCTTAATTCCGCCTCCAGACCCAGCCAGTCTCCCACCAGCCAGGCTTGGAGGTGCCAGCTCCCACAGGAGAGTCCACACTACCTTGAGGATGGACTCCACCCCTCCCCATGCGAGAATGCACTTAGTATGTGAATGTTTACGTGCCGAAATGCACTCTCAATGTGAGAACACTGTATGTTTGTATAGCACTAGCTAGCTGGCCATGTGGTACATGGATGTGTACTTCTGTGGAAGACAGAAACTGTACCACATACCTTATCAGAGTGCTTCTGATATCCTGAGGGAAGGAAAGAGCAGGGATTCAGTATTTTTCTCATTTTTCTTATGACTACAAAATACAAAATACCAGTTAGGTGTGGGGGCACATGCCTGTAATCCCAGTCCTCTGGGAGGCTGAGGCAGGAAGATTGCGAGTTCAAGCCCAGATTGGGCAACTTTTTGAAACCCTGTCTCAAAATTTAAAAAATTTAAAAGGGCTAAGGATGCAACTCAGTGTGAAGGCCCTGGGTTCAGTCCCCAGTACACCAAAATACAAAACAAACAACAACAAGTCCAAAATACCACATCCCTGGACTGGGGATTTAGCTCAGTGATTCTGCCATCTGCCTGGCAGGCGCAAAGCCCTGAGTTTGATCCCTGGTACCCAAAAAATAAATAAAATAAAATACCACATTTCTAAGCCAAAAAAAGGAAAAGGACACAGACCGCAGAGTGTTAAGGTTACCAGTCTTGGAGGATCAGAGGAGGGTTCTTTAGACTATAGACCTGGGGCTGGGCGTGGTGGCGCACGCCTGTAACCCCAGCACTCGGGAGGCTGAGGCAGGAGGATCACGGAGTTGGAGACCAGCCTGGGCTACACAGTGAGCTCCAGGTCAGTCTCAACTACATAGTGAGACCCTGTCTCAACCCCCCCCCAAAAATGCGCGCAGACCTGGATGCAAGTGATGGGGACCTGTCCTGTGAGTCTGAAACCAAGGCAAGTAAATCCCACACCACAGCACCCTGCTTCTCGGCTCCCGGTGCACCCCTTGGGTCAGTGGTGGGGAACCTACAGCTCCTAGGCCATAGCTGGCTGCTTGTTATCATGGAACGCTCTAACAGGTTTGCCATCACTGCCCCCCATCCTGCTGCCTTTCTAACGATTGCTGGGACCGCAATCTCTCTCCTCCAGCTTGAGGAAGTAAAATAGACCAGGAAGAACTTCCTGACCGGTGGACAGGGACTTCCAGGTTGTAAGGAATGGTTTGCACTGGAAACAGCGCTTGACCTTCATTCACATAATACTCTTCAAAGTGCTAATCTCACTTGTGTTTTCTGTTGGGTCCTCATGTGAGCCCCATGAGATCTTTGTTATTCAGTGGAGGGTGGGTCAGAGAAACCAACAGCAGGAAGCAGGGAAGCAGGGACTAGATACAGACTTCTGGCTGGCAACCCTCCGGGAGGCAAAGCGCGGGTGAGGGAGACGCCAAGACAGAGGCAGCGAGCCGCAGGGCGCCGGGGGCCTCACCGTCAGGAGCCCCCGTGCTGGCCTCTTGCTCTTCTCCTCCAGCTCTTCAATCAGGGTGCTAAATCGGCAGATCTCCCCGTCAACCAGGTGATCAAACTCTTCCTGCTGCTTCAGGATGTCCCCGTCCAGCTTCTCCAGTTGTGCTAAAAGGATGCTCTGCTGCTCTTCCAGAAACTGGCTCAGATGTGCAAACTCCGAAATCACCTGCCGTCTCCTGGTGGCCACCTGAGTCTGAGAGGCAGAGCGAAAGCCCAAGAGGGTGTTTCCTCCTCAAAATGTTCTTCACCTCCCCGCCCTCCTCCTCATCCGCCTTCTCTTTCCTTATTCCACTCTCCCCTCCCTGTTGGCCCAGATCCACATCCTCCCAGGCCTGGTGGTAAAATATTCACCACACCCACTCCCTGGTCCCCAACAGACTTGGGGTGCAACGTAACCCGGCTCCACCTCCACCTGCCGTGCCCTCCTGGGAGCTGGCCTGGCCATCACTGTCTCGGCACCGCCTGCAGGAGCTTCTAGAAGCATCAGGGCCAGAGCAAGCGCTGGGGACCCTGAAAGCCCACCTGGCAGAACGTGCACTGGGTGTGAGGCACCGGCCACTTTTCCCGCACAATCTCATCTGATCCTACGGTAGCAGTGATGTTCAATCGCCATTTTACAAACAAGTAAAATAAAGTTCAAGAGCTGCTTGAGGTCGTACACAGTGTCACGTCAGGATTCAAACCCAGTGTCACTTCGAGGCCCTCTGTGCTATGCTGCCTCGGTTTCCAGAGACACTGGGCCCTACAGAAGGGCAGGGTCTGGGGAAGGCTCGAGGACCTACCAGCAGGACCTGTATCCTTTTATTTTCTCTTGACTGGATTTCTTGAACCTCCTGTCTCTCTTTTCTTAGACACACAAGACACTTCTGTATTTGCTCCTAGAGAGAAGGAACATAAAGTACTAAGAAAGTGTGACTCCCCGAGGCCTGTCATTGCATCTAACCCTCTGCCTCTGGGAGCGAAATACCCAGGAGAGGAGTCTGTCCCCCAGCTGACCATACCTGGCCTTCCTCGCTTTGACAGCTTACTTCCTTGGTCTTGGTTCTTTTGCTTTGTACGTCACAGACTCTGCTCAAGACTTTTCCTTTTCTCATTAAAGTCTGTGGCTTGGTTTCCCCATTCAAACATCTTACTTTCATCTGCATCTGGTAAGTGGCATTTATGATTTTTCCCTAGCTTGATATCTCCTTTACTGAAATTATTCTGACTTTCTAACATGTCCTAAAGGGAACGCATGTAAATAACCTTCTTATTTTACTAGGATCTATTATCTAGTCAGGTATTGGTGGTGCACATCTGTCAGCCCAGCACTCAAAAGGCTGAGGCGGGAGGGTCACTGAGAGTCGGAGGCCAGCCTGAACTATATAGTGAGACAATCTCAAAACAAAACAAAAAAAATCAATTGTCTAGGTAGGATTCCGGAGGGAAGAAGAACCTTGGACAGTGCAAAGATAATTGATAAATTGTTTTAAAAATTGTTAGTTCTAGAATGGAGTCCAGAAGAGGTACGCATGCGTAAATGTCCATGTGTGTATATTCAAATATACATATAGAATGCTAACCATCAGCTGCTAATTAACTAATTCAGGTATTCATATATACAGGTGTCCACTTGTACTGAAACACAGTACATAAACAACCCAACCCGGCCCACACCCATTTACTGACAGATAAAATTACGCAGCACATATATTTACCCAACTCGCATATCTGTAAACTCATTTATTCCCAAACACAATCGGTTACGCTTGCGCACTCAAATACAGACCCATTCAGAGCCCAGCCAAACACGCGCTCCCGATCCCTGGGACGCGGCCGCAGGCAGACACACTGCAGGCTTTCACGGAGCCGGCCCGGAGCACCGCGAGCAGAACTCGCTCGGGTCCGATTTGCTGCGCCTGCGCCCACTGCCCGGGGCGCCCTCGGCAGGG